AAAATATCTTAGTTTTTAAATAAGTTGTTTCCTCTCACCTATGGAATTAAAGCTTTTGGGTTTCAAAATGTTTTGATTATGACCATCATTGTATTAGAAACAATTTTTCGTACTCCAGTCATCCTCTCTATCAACTTATATAAGAATTGTGAAAAAGCTGATGACCATGAAGTTGAGATAAAAATAATCTTATATATGTGCTTTGAAATTTAAAATATATATCATTTTGGCATGTTGTAATAAGCAGTTATTATCAATCCTTCTTGGCTATATGAGATTAGAGTGCTCGGATTTGCAAGGAGTCATAAAGAAGATCTAGATTATTATTGCAATAGTAGGTCAAAAGAGCAGTTATTAATTATGACTCTATGTATTAGGAAAGAGTTTAATCCCATTAAATCTCTATGGAGATTGGATATATGCAATAACTACATGCAATTATGAGAGATCTCTTGGCTAAGGTTTGTAAGTTCAAATGTTTCTATAACATACCGTCTCAATTTAGATTTGTGTGCGTTTCAAGAAGCAAGACATGCCTTCACGATTAGGATTTCTTGGAGCGCACTTGTTACGCTTTTCTCTTCTAATTGAAAACAATGATGTAAAATTTCTTCAACATTGACGAGCAATATCAACAAGGTTTTGGTTAGCTTCATCTTGTATTTGATATATTCCTTTATGCTTTTGTTTATAAGATGGTGTACTTGGGATTTGGAAAGGGCGGCGAACATTCCTTTTTTGTGTATATCAATTGTGACATTTTTAACAGTAAATCAAATCTGTTGTCCTCTCTGTTAATGTGAACTTCATTGAAGAAACCATGTTAACCTTGGTTTTTTTTTTTGTGTTTGCTTATCTATCCTAATGAGGATAAAATATAATAATAATAATAATAATATCTCACCTGAGTTCTCTCGTCAACATCCCTCATGCTTTATACATCTACAAGTAAGCTGCCAGTCAAGTTCTCATTGGCCTCCACTGAAGCCAGGATCATGTGTTCCTCGTTATTGAAGCCCACGACCTATCTCTCTCCCATAAAATAGAACCCTCAAGTCATCTCTCACCTGCACCTAGCCTCATACATTTGAGCTCCTGCACCCTCTATTGCTAAGCCCCTAAACTAAGTTTTAACTCAATAAGAAAATAAATGAACTAACTTGAACAAGATACTACTTGACAATATTTACTAACCTAATCTTGTAAACATGTGATTCACTGGGAATCATGGAAGTCAACAAAATTTTGAATAGTGTAAGTCATGAATACAAGATTCAACAAAGATCACGGAAGTTCTCAAATAGGAAAAGTAACCGGTGATACAAGAACAATGGTGAGCAGTGGCAGATACATCCAAGCTACATAAACCTATTGCTATAGTCACACATCAAACTTATATAAACTATACATAAATACATAAAAATGCAGTGTGCAATTTGGATGAGAATAATATTAAGATAGATTGTTTCCAATTAGTCATTAGGGATGCACAAACAAAGTTTGTTTTGTACTTGTTCATGAAAATATTCTATCTCCCAGACATTATAGGGAATTTCAAATTTGAATTTGTTAAAATTCCTGGAATTTTAATGTTGTGGATAGAAATTCAATATTTTGCAATAAAAACAAAATAAGAAACTATCGACAATTTTTAAACGAGGACAAACATATTAATATAGGGGTGGTTTGGTTGCCGAAAAAAGGAATGCAATGTAATTGGAGTTGTTTGGATAATTGTAAAAGGAATGCATGAATTTTTTTTTTCTTTTAAGTAAAATAAATGCAATGTATAGTACAAAAAGGTTGTAGCCGGGGTGATCGAGGGGTGAGCGGGGGTGACCAACGAGTGCCTGGTGGCCGGCGGGAGGCGGTGGAGGTGGTGGCCGGCATTGAGTTTGTAGTGTATTTGAAAATTGCCCAAATTTGATGAATTTCAAATACATTGGATTTGAATTAGAGGGTGAATTTCATTTATACTTTACTCTGCTTCCCTTTTAGTTCAAATCTAATATCAATATTTTAAAGACTCTTGCACTTGGAATATTTTACATCCCTTTTGCAACAAAACAAATAGACCCATAGATAGAAAAGGTTTCATTAAATTCAAACCGGAGAACCATTAATTTTCATATTTGTTAGCCCTAGGCCCTAGCACAACTATGTGTAATGCTTTCCTTGAGATACCAACTAATTCCATGGGATCTTCAATATGTGGAATTGAAATCATTTTCGAACACCTTGAAAAAAATTCCATTTGTAACCATTTCTTTATGCCATTATAATCATCTCTCATGTATTGGGTTAGTGATACAACTTAAGTTTCTAAATATTTTATGGAGAACACTTAGGAAAGCAATTAGAGAACTTCTTCCTTTCCGTAAAGCATAAACATCCACATATAAAACTATAAGCAGAAACAAATTCTAGAAAATAGCTTACAGAATTCATAAACATAAAGAAATGACAACAATACTACTCTCAGAACAACCAACAAGCGGTCACCTCACATCCAAAGCTCGAAATATAAAGGATAGGTGCTCAAAGGATAGATTTAACCCGAAATCCACCACTGAAACGATCCGACACTAGTCCACACTCCTCTGGCAAATACCAACCAAAATGTGGTAGCAGACACCACTAAACTCACAAGAGAAGAAAGATACAGATGGGGCGGGAACAGTGTATAGAGAAGAAAAGGTAGAAGACCGAGACGAAGTAATAGAGGGGAAGGGGAAAAGAGGCTAGCTTGCAAGCTAGAAAAACCCGCAGGTTTGTATGCAAATTCTTCATAAAAAATTGTCTAAAACCATTGGGAAAATAGCCCCTATTTATAGGGAAGAAAAGGGAGAAAGAGTAATAATAGCGGGTAGGTAAAACATCACATATCCAACCAATAAAAACTCATCAAAATTGCATCAAACAGGGACTAAAGGGACAACTGTCAAGGGGGAAAAACGAAGCATCCACATAGCATAAAGAGGGGGGGTGGGTGGGCGGGAACAAAGCAACAACACAGCTGCCAAGGAGGGGGCAAACCGAAGCACCAAGGGGGGCAATCCGAAGCATCAAAGTGACGGAAAGAGAGAGACAAACCTAAGAGCACCAACCTAGCATGATCATCAGTTTCCTTCCATCATAGGGTAACCAAAATAAAATTGCAAAGCATAATGAACCCAAATATAAAAGAGTACATAAATATTTGACTACATCAGTTAGTAAGAACGTGTGGTGTAGCCTTGAGAAAGTTGTCAACCAAGGATTCCTTAAGGTATGAGAGGAAAGTTAAAGATCTGTAAAATGTGGGGGGAAAAAGCTAGGGTTGGTGTTTAGGTGTGGTATCATGTAGAAGTGTTGGAGAGAGAAAATTCAAGACACTATTGTGGTGTGTGGCTATTTGGGGAATGCAAGTGATTGTTTTGGGGGCTTGAAGTGCTTATTTTGGGTTAGGTTTGATGGTGTAGAAGAATTCTTGTGTTTAGGGTGATGTGGTTTGATGTGTGATGGCTTGTAAATGCTATGCTATCAAACAAGAGATATAGGAAGGATAATGCTGCTGAGGCTTTGGAGAGTGAAGAAAGCTTTTGCATGGGGTTTTATGGCTTTGTGAAGATGTTAATGGTTGTGTGAGGATGGGAAGGGAATGAGGGAGATGTTTATTCAATAAGAAAGAAAATAAGATAACACACTTGTCTCTCACCAAAGAAGTAAGAACGGTTAAAGTCACCCAGCAAATCACCAACAATGGAATTCGGTCCATTGAGCACTCAATACTCGATTCTGTATTTACACATCCAAAATTTTTTTATGTTGTTCAGTAACAATCCTTCATAACCTTCATAATCTAATTAAACAAGAAAAAAAAATCACAAAAAAGGGGATGTAATTGTGGTCGGTCGCTCCATCATGAAAGGAGGCCTTGGTTGATTGCATCCTTTCACCAATTAACCACATCCATTCACTCTCAAAGTCTCAACCATAGCCAGTTATCTTGGAATCATGCGGAGACCAACCAAAGTAACATGAGGCATCTCCAACTACTTCCACAACTACTACAACCTCCTGAACTACCATAACTTTCTATTTAAATTATTAAATTTTAAAATTCAAAAGTTCAAACCCAAATTATTACAAGATAATATAACTCCTATGACTACCAGAAATATCATAGTTACCAAATTTGAATTTTTTAAATTTCAAAATTTGAAATTCAAATAGTTCAAATTCCAACATTATTCAACTAGAAAAATTATTAAAAATATGAAATTACATTATTATTTTTCAGTTCCTAGCTAAAATTTGGACTTGCATCCTTGATTCCTTCCTAGCTACATGTACTACATCGAGGCTTACTGGGTTCCTGCACCTTGCCGATAGCTACGACTTCATCTATTATTTATATAAATGGTAACGCTTCTAATGCATTTAGGTGCGACAAGTAGTATTTAAAACTCTTTGAGATCATCTCAGGAGAGAAATTGTTCTGAAAGATACCTTCTTTTCCCCTTGAACTGCTGTGACGCTTCATTAAGCACACATAGGAGAGATCAAGTCATGCATAGCCATGAAAGAGAAATAATCCCAGCTTCTTTTCCACTTGTGCATAATGTTTTATAATGTACTGAGGTTTAAAACATATTAAGTAGAACTAGAATCATGAAGGCACAAAATGATACTAAGAAAATTTGGTCATCAACATTAAAGAAAAACATTTTGTGATGCACAGGAGGGATCCAACATGGCCACAAATATAATGAGAAGAAAGTAGAAAAGGACGTGCATCAATTGGCAAAACCCCACCATGAGGCATTTTTCAAGTAGGATGGTTTATGCAAAATTTGTTGGATTAATAAAACGTGAATCAATGATTTTTAGTGAATTTGGGAGTCTCTTTTCTGAATTTTTATACTTGAAAGCCATTCTGTCGTATGCTAATTATCTAGTTGCCTCTCTCTGTGAAAATGAGCCAGTCGCTCGTCTGTTCTTGATGAAATTTCTTGCAGTAGCGTTGGTAGAGAGAGATACCAGAATTCAACAACATATGCATTTGAAGGTGCCGATGAGTTGATCAAGAATACCTCTGGTACTGGGCACTTAAAGACACCTTTAGTTGGCTTTGAATTAGAAGCTGGTAAGAACACCATAAAGAATTCTGCCATACACACGCACGCTCTCATTGTCATTCTCAAAAGCTGTCATTGATATCTTTTTTATGCCATCTGCAGAGAATTTGGTTAACTTGGATGGAGTTTGTACTGGAGATTCCGAGCCGGCTAGCATGCCATTTGTGAACAAGTTGATTTGCCAAAACAGCGAGTGCCGCATGTTCGGTGAAAGCATAGTTTCCCCCCCAACATTGCCCCAGAGAAATTCAACTGGAGATAGAGTATTTTACCCCAACATAGGCAGCTTTTCTTCATATTCCACTCGCTCTCATATCCCCACTGTGAATGGCTTTAACCCACCCTCTACTAGCTCGGCATGTCCTATTACAGCAGTCATAAATCCAACCAACAGTTTAAGCAGTGAAGTATCAAATGGTAGCATGCCAGGCTCAAATCTGGAACAAATGGAAGCTTCTGGTTCTCATAATTCAGTAGAGTTCACTCAAAATTTTCATGAAGGTTATTGCAATGTATCGGATCTCGATGACTGCCGTGAGTTAACTGAAGCTGTTACAGATGTAGACAGCATCAGCAGCCACTGTGAGAGAGGAAAATCAGAGGATGGGGACAATGATGACTTGCTGGGAGGAGTATTTGTCTATTCAGAAGGTATTGTCCTAAAAGTTGCAGTTATGCCATTCTTGTAATAAAAGTTCTCTTATTGTTTTGTTTATGCTTTTGTTGAACAGGTTGAGCTCCACTTTGGACAATATATAATAATGGTTGAATAGCTTAATATGTGAAGTTGGAAGCCAATTTCGTTTACATGGATCTCTTTGGAATATTGGTTTTAGTGATTTGAGAATGAAGAAATCTCAGTTGATCTGATAAGGTGATCATTCTCATCAGATGGCAGGAAACCTGAATGTGGGTTTTGCTTCAGTTCTTTTTTTTTTTTTTTTCTTTCTTGTATATTGTGTAGATTTGCTTTTGTAATTCATGAAACACTACCAGGGCATGAGGCGTTATCTCGTGGTTCAATTGGAGTGTTTACTGTTCTTCTTTGTCCTGCCATGAGGTGAAAGCTGCATGTGTCGATGTACAGAATTGTCAGAGGTTGGGCTTATTCATGGAAATGTTAATCCTTGCAATGTTCTATGGGGTGAATTCTTGAATATTCTTTATATATTTAAGCTATAAAAACTTTTTTGAAAACTAATTCAGGCTTTGTTTGGGACAGTTTTCTTATTGTTTTCTAAAGTAAATTTTTATACTGAAAATTTATTTTAGAAAACAATAAGAAAACTGTCTCAAACAAAGCCTGAATTAGTATTCAAAAAAGTTTTTATAGCTTAAATATATAAAGAATATTCAAGAATTCACCCCATAGAACATTGCAAGGATTAACATTTCCATGAATAAGCCCAACCTCTGACAATTCTGTACATCGACACATGCAGCTTTCACCTCATGGCAGGACAAAGAAGAACAGTAAACACTCCAATTGAACCACGAGATAACGCCTCATGCCCTGGTAGTGTTTCATGAATTACAAAAGCAAATCTACACAATATACAAGAAAGAAAAAAAAAAGAACTGAAGCAAAACCCACATTCAGGTTTCCTGCCATCTGATGAGAATGATCACCTTATCAGATCAACTGAGATTTCTTCATTCTCAAATCACTAAAACCAATATTTCAAAGAGATCCATGTAAACGAAATTGGCTTCAAACTTCACATATTAAGCTATTCAACCATTATTATATATTGTCCAAAGTGGAGCTCAACCTGTTCAACAAAAGCATAAACAAAACAATAAGAGAACTTTTATTACAAGAATGGCATAACTGCAACTTTTAGGACAATACCTTCTGAATAGACAAATACTCCTCCCAGCAAGTCATCATTGTCCCCATCCTCTGATTTTCCTCTCTCACAGTGGCTGCTGATGCTGTCTACATCTGTAACAGCTTCAGTTAACTCACGGCAGTCATCGAGATCCGATACATTGCAATAACCTTCATGAAAATTTTGAGTGAACTCTACTGAATTATGAGAACCAGAAGCTTCCATTTGTTCCAGATTTGAGCCTGGCATGCTACCATTTGATACTTCACTGCTTAAACTGTTGGTTGGATTTATGACTGCTGTAATAGGACATGCCGAGCTAGTAGAGGGTGGGTTAAAGCCATTCACAGTGGGGATATGAGAGCGAGTGGAATATGAAGAAAAGCTGCCTATGTTGGGGTAAAATACTGCCTCGCCGCAACACCGCCTACCGCTGCTACTGCCGCCGGCCGCTGTGCATGCCGCCGCCTGCCTCTACTTCTTGACCGAAAACCGCATATTTCAAAATTCCATGTCGGGTCGTGTTGACCCGAACCCGACCCGCCCGAACCCGACCGGGTCGGGTTAGGGTCCAGAGAATTGACCCGAAACTTGTTTCGAGTCGTGTCCGGGTCGGGTCAGATACAACCGGGTCAAATTCGGATCTGACCCGAACACGACCCGCCGACACGAATTGACAGCCCTAGATTTACATATTTTTGAAGTCATTAGAATCATTGTGACAAAGTGAACCGTTTCAACTAACCCTTCAAATGCTTTTCTAAAATTTCTTACTGAAATTGAGGCTTCATTTGGGACGGCTTTCTTCTTATTGAAATTGAGGCTTCATTTGGGACGGCTTTCTTCCTACTTCTTAAAGTAACTTTTCAGTACAAAAATATAAATTTTTTAACTAGAAAGCCACTTTAAGAAGCAGTAAGAAAACCGTCCAAAACAAAGCCCGAGTGGTTTAGCCTTCAAAATTCATGTGGGATGAGATGAAAGTCAAAGGACCATATCAAATTTCATGATATCTATCATAACCATACAATATAAAATCATTAGGTGAGGCCAAGGATGTGAGGAATGGCTAGTTAATTTCGCTAACAAAATCTGCAACCTCAGGCTTTTCATTAAAAGCTTAAAAAAAACTTAAACAGCTTCAAGACCAATCCACATACTGTGCATCACTCTTTGGTTTCCTCTTTGGCTTTTGATACCTTCTGTTCTTCAAAATAGCCTTCGAAATGAGTGATTCGAGGAAGGCAGCTTCACCCAAATCGAAAGGATTATTCAACACCCTACAGACAAAAAGAGAGAATGAACAGGAGAGGAATGACAGAAAATGATTCAAAGTAAGAAGATCCACCTTTGTAGCACATCCTGCAAAATTACTCTCTGGGAAGAGGTGACATAATGGATACATTTTCTGGGGCATTGTCCAACAGCGAGCTGAACTTGGTAATCATCAACATGACCTGCATAAGTTTCTGCTTAATATGGTAGAGGATGGAACCGCTTTTTATGCTTTTAATCACAAACAGATACAGATGCAAGATTTCGAACATGAGACCACTTTGCCAAAACATTAGATTAAGGCTTCGTTTGGGACAGCTTTTGTACGGCTTTTTAAAACGGCTTTATAGTTCAAAAAATTAAAATGCAAGAAATTTTTGTACTAGAAAGCCATTTTAGAAAACAAGAGGAAATGTTTTCCCAAATGAAGCCTAAGGGTTTATTTATCAGAACTTTTTTATTGCTTTCTAAATTGACTTTTTATTACAAAAGTTTTTTAAACTCAAAATTTTTGTGCTAGAAAGTTGCTTTAGAAAGCAGTAAGAAAGTTGCCCAAACGAAGATTGAAGTGGGCCGCACATTGAAATATCTAAACATATACAGTAGGTTTTCTAGATGAATGATACCGCGGCAAAGCTAAGCTATTCCATGGTTACACTAAGGCTTCGTTTGTTTTTTTGGTGCTTTTATGAAAGACAATTTTAAAAAACATTAGTTCAGAAAATGGAGTTCTCTAACGGAGAAGCATATATAAATGTTTTCTCAAAACTGTAGAAAAATGAAAAAAAAAAAAGAGTTATTGGGAACGTGATTTGACGAACCAAATAACACAAAAAAAAATCCTCCGTTTTCAAACAGAAAAGGCAAAAAAACGCTCAAACAAACAAAGCCTAAAAGAAACGTAATATGTACAACAAACATAAGCTTGAGGAGAAACTTCAAATGCTTTATAATTGGAAAAGACAGATCTAACATAAAACAAAAATAATAATTAAGTGAAATTTCTGTCTGTTTTTCAATTTCTTTTTCAACCATTCATAAATTTATTTTCGTAGAAATGGTGTCTGCCTTCGATATAAATCCTGAAGAGTTTGGCTTTGTAGGGGTGTTTAAACGAGCCCATCATGTCCGTTTTTTTTTTCTCTCGTATAACTTTATTAAAATGTTAAATATGAATTTCAATGTGATCAGTTTATTTTCAGCAGTTTTCAAACCGCTGTAATGTAGCAAATTTGTAGCAGTTAAAACCGCTGCCAAAGAAAACGCTGTCACAAACAATGTCTAACACAACGGTTTAAGTAACGCTGCAGAAGCCATTTACGGTGATAACAAATGCGGAACATTGTAGGTGTTTTAACTGCTGTCGTGGGGTAGAAAAAGTACTGTGAAAGCCTGTTTTAATAATAGTGGATGCGAGTAGGAACCCTTAATAAAGTTTCACTAGCATGGGGAAAAGTTATACAAATATGGCTAGCAATAGGAACCAGTAAATTTGGTTAAGCTTTGATGGCGAGGACAGAAAAGTAAGAATTGCCATGGATATTCCCCACAGTAGGTAGACGGATGAATATGTAGCTTACCACTAGCCAGTGTTGTTCGTATCTTAATTAATTTTAAATCTGATTTTTGCGGTTCATTTTGAGCTTCTATCCATGTAATCTTTAGTCCATCTAATTTTCTTTTAAACCTGATATCTTTATTTTATCAACTCACATAATGGGTTCATTTTTTAACCCTTAATTGTCTAGAGGTCTAAACTACATTAGTCTATTTTTAATAATATTTTCTTGAATATATCACTCTAAAATTTTTTATAACATAATCATTCCTTTATTTCTATTTCTTGATTTTACGATACATCTATTTAACATTCTTGTTTTTTTCATAGTCAAATTAGATATAAAATTTTTTTATGACCTAATATTTGAATCCATTCAATATTGTCAGCTTAATTTTAATTTTATAACATCATCTTTAATAATTAAGTTTACATGATATCTGTTTTTTTTTTTTTTTCATATACTAACTTGATTCATCATAGTCTATCCTCTTATTATGCAAAACTCTCATGATACTTTTTCATTTTAACTATTTAAGCATAACTTCAAAAAAGACTACAATTGTTAGGTCCAAAATCCGAGATGAATAAAATAGGGGGTTGCGTTAGTAGTTATCAATCATCATGAAACTTGTCCAACATCCATGACATGTATAATTTATTATGTTGATGCTAGAATGTTCCCGGAAGGCAACGTGTTGTATGACTTGAATATAGCGAAAAGTGTGCATAAGTCGCTACACTGGCGCCCAAGTGCAGTATTATATAAGCAAGATTTCACACATTATAGATGGATATGGATAAAGAAGCTAGTACATAAAAGTATAATTTGGATGGAATTTAGAATATAAGTACTCTTATAGACAAATTAATGAAATTAAGATTTATGATGATCATAGGAAGATAAATATTCTATGTATTCAAGAAACTAAATAGGTTGAGAAAAAGGATAAGTAGATTGATAGTTTAGGATTTAAACTTTAGTATTCAGATGATGACTATTTGGTAAAAAATCTCAATCGAATAAGACTACATGATTTTAAAAAATAACATCAAATTCCAAAAATTTATCATTTTGTTGGGTTGAAATTCCAATAATCTTTAAAATCTATCATTTGTAAAAAAATTCAAAATATTTAAAGTGAAACAATCTCCTATAACTTAAAACAAATCTATCAAACCCTTGCAATCATTTATCGAGGGCAATTAACTCAATAATAATATCAGCTCACAAAAAATTAATGTTTAGTCAAGAATATCACTAAGATTATTCTCAAATAATCTCCCGCTGGTAAAAAAGTGGCACATATCTTCTAATTGGTGATTTTGCTGCAAAATGACACTACATGTAAATGATTATAATCGAGGCCCTCTAATTGAGTGATTTATCCATAAATAGGCACCATTAAATTATGATCACCACTCAAGTATGTTCCTTAATGGCTAAAACTCATGAGTAATGAATCATATGATAAAATTAGATTGGGCATAAAACCTTCTATTAACTAAGATCAATTTTAATTTATTCTCTTAAACAAAAACACATCTTAGATCTATAAGAATGAAACAACTCATAGCTTTAATAATGACCTTTAGATCAATTTTAATCAACTACCTCCTCTGATTAAGTACAAGGGACCACGATAACCTGAGATGATTGAACTATAGGATCTTGATCGTGCTTATCATTATTTACATGCCATCTACTTAAGTGTATAGTGATGAATTTCAAATCAACTATTAAATTTGTTACTACTATATGCTTGGTATTTAGTGCCTACCAATTGACTAACCTTAATTGAAAATGTTATCATATCACCTAGAGAGAAAATTAATCATAGGGGCTTATGTGTATGAGAAACATGAATTGAGATCTTAAAGTCCTCGCAAATTAAGAGAAAAATCTTTAGCTAGTGTCTTATCTTCAATTTAATCTGCCTTATAAAAATTTGAACCAAAATATACCCCATTAAAACTCTCCCGAAATATAAAGAGGCTGAGGCATGAAATTTTTGCAGCCCGAAAAGATTTAGTTAAAATATTATATTGGTCGTAAAATGTTTACAAAGAGTTATATAACATAAAAAACTAATGAAATAAAAAATTTCTTTAAGAAGATGAGTTTTCATTAACCATGTAAATTCCTTAAATATGATTGCATAGTAATATTTTGAGTATATTATTTTGCTCCAATGATCTGCCTTTTGGTTGAGAGATTAATTTTATTGAGAAAGTTTGTGATTTAAAAAAGAGCACAGATTAAATAAGCATGCGATCATTACAATTCATGTTATTAATTATGATTAATACTATTTTCTTAAGTCTCTTTTTTTGTAGCTAGTTATGCTAGTGGTAATTTCTTTTTAAGTTATTCAAATATGAAAAATATCACATTATTTTATTGTTGACCTCTATATATGTTTTGCAGTCAATCGAGTATGATGAGAAGAATGATTGATTGATGTCATGTAATGCATAATGAGCTCAAAATGCATTGATGTCACACGAAATCACTCATATGTCATATGTTTGTGAAATAGAATGCATCGGCATGTCCAGAGCGCCAAATTTATCCAAGAAGAATCATTCATATGCGACATGATCAAGCAACGACAAGCATAATCATGGGAGAGCGTGACGTCACACGAAATTACTCAAATATTTTATGTTCGTGAAACAAAGTGCATCGACTTGTCTAGAACATCAAATTTATCCAAGAAGAAATGCTTGCATGTAACTTGAGCAAATGTGATTGAAACAACGGCCAACAGATGCGACGTTGTACAAAATCACACAATTGTTCTTTGACTACAAAATAACCTTTGTCATTGTGTCCAAGACATCGAAAATACTCATGAGGGATCCCTCAGACACAAATCAAGCGACCGTAATAAAAAACAACATACTACGGACACAACATTGTGCTATGTTAACCAAAGAATATTGGATGACAAAATGGACTTAAATGTTGTCTGAAACATTGAAATTACTTATGATGGACACCTTTGTTTAAAATTGCGCAATAAGAGGCGCGCCTCTGCGCAATTCTGTCCAAAAGCGCCTCGAGGCGCACGCAATTTGGACACTGATTGAGGCGTACGCCTCACCCTGTGTGAGGCGCGCCTCAATTGCGCAATTATGGGTGAGGCGTACGCCTCATCCAAATGGTCTTACCTACTTAAAATCAACCATTAAAAAAGCGGACGAGGCGTCCGCATTGAGTTGTGTATTCGCGTATAGGATTAGGGCTTCCTGTGAGAATTGAAAGGCGAACTAGAGGCGAAGCCGTGAGGAAAATAGACGAAGCTGTGAGGGAAGGAGACGAAGCCGTGAGTGTAGGAGATGAAGTTGGAAGGAGGCGATGCGGGGAAAGAAACGAAGCCGAAGTTGTGAGTGCAGGAAACGTTCAGGCATCGGTTAGGTCGGAAGAGCAGGTACACGGTGTTGTGGCCTTGACTTTGACGTGCAGTAAGGAAAGCTTGAATAACTCTTGATTCGGCTTTCTTTCATTCGTCCGCTCAGTACAAGCTCGGTACTGCTCAGTACATGCTCGGTACCGAACCTGTACCGCTCGGTACTGAGCAGTACATGCTCGGTACTGAGCGGTACATGCTCGGTACTGAG